TGCTTTGGGGGGCTCGTGGTCTGGCACACATGCTCAGTACCTGTTCACTCTGCCTGTTACTCTTGTGGAGGGAGATAGCAGCCAGTCTCCAAGAAGTCCCTGTAGTCTCCTGCTGAAGCGGACTTACGGCATCCACCTCTCATCCCGCTGGGTCCCCACAGCAACCGTCAGACAGATCACACTCCCTTGTAGAGACTTGCCCGGACTCGCCCGTGGGTCTGTGTGTTCTCGGCCACAAGCTACCATGCCTGGCTGTTGCTGCCTCAGACGCTGACTCAGAAAAGCAGTTGCTGGTCCTCAGGGAACACTCTGTCCTACCGACTGTCTGACGCCATGGAAAGCTAGTCCCAGAGGCTCTGAGCTGAGCGGGGTGCAGGAGTCACCCAGGGGACTTCTTGAAAAATATAGTCCTTTCCCACCACCGTAGCAATCCTCCACAAGAGAAAGGCAGGGCCAGGAACCCATATACACGGGGGGGCGGGGGGGGGAGCCCCCCAGCCAATTCCAAGGCCCTCCTGGCAGGTAGGAAAGAACTACTCTAGACAGCCCTCAACCTTTCTTTCTGCTATGGATCAGGCCCAGCCCTCCACTGCTGAGCCACAGCCCAAGCCAAAGCCTTCGCTACTCCATCTCCTGCGGCAGGTGGCAGGGCTCAGGCGCAGGCCGGAAGTAGTCCCCGGAGGCTCTCACTTGCCCTGGGCTGGTGGAGGCATGAGCCAGAGAAGAGGGAGGACCCTGGGATCAGACTAAGCAATGGACAGGCGCCCTGCCGACAGAAGGGAACTAGCCTGGACAGCTGTGGTCACCGTGGCGTCCCATGCCACCAGCACCAGCAGCAGCAGCACAGGGGCCCTGGGCTAACGGCATGGGAAGACAGTGCTGACACCCGGAAAGAAAAGCATAGCACGGCCCGACTCTGTTTCAGAGACAGGGAATTCCCCTTTCCCAGTCAATCTACCAATCCCGACCGGCTGATGCCAGAACGCCCAGGTTGCTACTGGGGGAGCTGAAGCAATGAGATGTCTATCACCTCTGACTGTCCTCTCTGGGCCAGACAACCACCATCTTGGGGAGTTCTGCTGCACCCCCTTGCAAAAGCGATTATCCCCGCTGGGTCTGTTGACTGTGCACTCCCTCACAGAGGTGTGGGGAGGTCACAGGACCCTCACCTGAGCATCTGGTGGCTTCCTACTGCCTGCTGTAATTCCGTCCCAACTGCACGCGGCTTTGGGGAGGGGCTGGGGGAGAGAGGCTGGCGGGGGGCTCCATCTGTGTGACTACAGGAGAGACATCACTCCTTCTGGTGAGGCCGTTATGTGGGGGCACCCACACTCCAATAAGTAACCCCTGACCTACGCTCGGTGAGGAAGCCCAATCAACTCATTGGTTCCCCAGAGTGAACGCTGGTGGAGCTGTGCCTGGGTTTGCCGCTGGGACCTTAGGAGGAGGGTAGATGTCGTGCATGTTTCTCCGGGAAGGAATTTTTAGCAACGCTTCATTAGTACTGATTGGATTTGCCGGTAATAAACATAAGTTACTTTGACTTTTTAAATAATTTCCAGCGGTGCTGGAGACGAAACCCAGGGGCCTCACGTATGCTAAGCATACACTCCACGGCTGGGCTGCCCCAGCCCTATGCTCAGTAACAACTATACACTAAGCAGAAATTGAAGGCTTTCTTGACCTACTTCCTGTCACAGTGTCTTCCCCAGGAACTAATCATCACCGACAGGTGATGTCTCTTCCCCAGACTTTCCTACACATGTACACACTGGCTTATATCAGTATGCACACATTTTCACACCTGTGACGGTCACTCCTTTTGTTCTCTTTTATCTGATTTTTTTTTTTTTTTTTTGGTTTTTCGAGACAGGGTTTCTCTGTGTAGCTTTGCGCCTTTCCTGGAACTCGCTCTGTAGACCAGGCTGGCCTCGAACTCACAGAGATCCGCCTGGCTCTGCCTCCCGAGTGCTGGGATTAAAGGCGTGCGCCACCACCACCTGGCCTTCTTTTATCTGATTTTGTTTGACGTGGTCTCATGTAGCCCAGACTGGCCTCGAACTCACCATACATCTGAAGCTGTTCTGGACTCCCTGATCCTCTGGCCTCCACCTCTCAGGTACTGGGAATATACTAGTTTGGTAGGATTGAGTCACCTGGGGAACACACCTCTGGGCACATCGATGAGGGTGCTTCTAGAGAGGTTTAAATGAGTGTGGCACCATCCCAGGGGCCAGGGTTCTAGATTGAATAACAGGGAGAAATGGAGCTGTGCACCAGCATCCATCATCTGTCTCTGCTTCCTGAGTGCAGAGGCAATGTAACCAACCACTTCACACTCCTGCCAGGAGCAGGACGGACCGTGCTCAAATACGTCCAAATATACCATACCAACGAGAAGGGTAACGAATACAACAGCTTAAGGTGTTTACTCTACAGTGGGCCTGAATGATCTGCCCAGGACAGTCCACAGAGATCTAGGGCACGGTTTTACACATTTAAAATGACTAGCTGGGTGTGACGGTATACGCCTTTAATCCCAGCACTTGAGAGGCAGAGACAGGCAGATTTCTGAGTTTCAGGATAGCCTGGTCTACAGAGTAGACTCTGTCACAAACACAATCAAATCAAATTATGAATGAACGAAACCAATTTTCTAGGATCAGAAGGGAAACCTCTTGGAACAGTCGTCCTCTGGCTCCCTTACAGACAGCCTGAAGTAACGACCTGTCACCACCTCCCTGCTTTCTTCAAGGGCCAAGCTCTTACCACACCTGGCTCCTCCTCTTTATACTAACCAAGAAAGCTTGTGTCCAGCAGCTGAAGCCCGGCTACATCCCAGACCTTCTTAATACCAATGTTCGGTAAACTGAGGCTCACTTTCCCATTGTTCTGTGGTCGAAGCAGTAGAAATGTTCTCAGGTTCAAGGCCACCGCCAGGGCTACCTGTAGAATAAAGGGCAAAAGCAGTTAAGCCTGAGGGCAGTGGCTCATGGACCAGCATCCGTATGTTTCAGAGGTGAAGACAGGAGGATCCCTGGGGTTCACTGGCCATTTAGCCTCGCCATTCCAGCAAGCTCTAAGACAATGAGAAGCCTGCCTCAAGATCTGAGGCAAATAGTGTCTCCTGAAGAATGGTATCTGAGGATGTCTCCTAAACACACACACACACACACACACACACACACACACACACACACACACACACACACGAAACCATAAAGTGACAGTTGGAGTGAATGGAAAAAAAATATATGCCATTTTTCTGCTATCATACCGAAGTCCTTTAGCGGTTTAAGGGTTTCTCTGGTTGGAGTGATTCATCCAGTCTACCCCTCAGGCCTTTCTTTTACCATCTTCAAATTCAGGGTCAGGGAGAAGTGGTACCCAGCCCTTCAGGGTTCTGCGGACTTTTTACCTTGCCATGGACCACAGCGTGTTCTCCATGGAGGATGATTTTCCCCGGAGCGGATACCAGCAGGACTTCTGACAACATGGCTCCTGAGACTCCTGAAAGGGAATGACAGAGAGAGGAACAAAGGTTCCTAGATGTTCATTAGACACATCAGAAAAGTTGGGCTTGGTGGCGTACGCCTTTAATCCCAGCCCTCGGGAGGAAGAGGCAGGTGGATCTCTGAGTTTGAGGCCAGCCTGGTCTACAGAGCGAATTCCAGGTCAGCCAGAACCATGTAGAGAAACTATCTCAAAAAGAGAAGAAGAAGAGGGGTTGGGGATTTAGCTCAGTGGTAGCGCGCTTGCCTAGCAAGCACAAGGCCCTGGGTTCGGTCCTCAGCTCTGAAAAAAAAAGAAAAAAAAAAGGAGAAGAAAAAAAGAAAGAAAGAAAGAAAGAAAGAAAGAAAGAAAGAAAGAAAGAAAGAAAGAAAGAAGAGAAAAATGCACATTATAACAATGGGAACTGCCATCTGGCACTAATTGTGTATCAAGACAGTGCTGTGAGCCCGCCAGCTGGACCACGAAAACCGTCTGGGTCCAGACCCAGCCCTTCCACTCCCCAGCGATGTCACCTTACATAAACTGCCATGAATCTGTTTCCTACACCTCAGATAGGGGCAACACTGGAGACTGATTCAAAGGACTGGGAAGCAGCAGTGTCTGTCTGTCTGCCTGTTTGCCAAAACAGCTGCTTGACTAGGTGGCTACTCAGCACTGGCTGGTTCTCGGTTCCAGCCTTTGCTGCGATCACTACTGAAGGTAGAAACTGGCATGGCCTCCCAGTGCATGGCTCAGTAGTGGAGGGCTTGCCCTATCACGAGGAAGGCCATGTGTTTGATGGTGTGGAAAAGGGAGGTTTACATAAAATCTTGGGAAAAAAAAAAAAAAAAAAGAATTCTCCCCGGACATCGAGACCACAGCCAACCTGTCACAGTTATAAACAAGGCTGCAGGGCTGACCTGTTACGCCCGGTGTTGCGTATCTAAACACGAACTTCTGCAAAGCGGAGTCTCACCGAGTGTTTTTTGCTGGATTCACGGGCGCGTGCATTTTACCTGGTTATAGCTAATGCACAATCACCCGCGTTCAAGGCGTCCCGGGAACTCCCTCACACGAACCACCCCACTACAGACTAAGTCCCCGAGGTCCGTCCCCCCCACCCCACCCCCGTTTCTTAGGGAACTGTCCGATCTGATGTCGCCCACCGCTCCGATCAAGGAAACTAAGGCAGAGGAACGGGGCGCCTGGCCTGGGGTGTCCGGGGCCCCGGTCCCCACGCCGCCCGGCCCCGCAGCCCAGGCCTCTCACCTGCCACGGCCGCCGTCCAGGTGTGCCGAAACCCCAGCTGCAGCTCGCTGTCTTCTCCATCCCCGGGCGCACAGCCCCACGGGGGCGGGCGCGCCTTCCCTCCAGCCAATCGGAGAGCTCGAGCTGAGGAGCCCTTTACGGATTGGGTCGGACGCGGACCAATGGGAATTTCAAACGAGCCGGAGATTTTTTCCCCGCCTTACTCTTCTCGTAACCCAATGGGAAACAAGTCCCGGGGAGTGCCCCGCCCTGGTGCGAGTGCCGCAGGCCAATGAGAAACGGCGATTGAGAGGTGGCGCGGCCAGCTGCGGGGCGGAGTCATCCCCGGGCCTGGACGGGTGCCCGGCCGGGTCAGCCCTGGACTCGTTGTCCCGCGCATGGCTGTGTGGGTCTTTGGGGGCCGTTTTGGCCTGCGCGGGCACCTTGGCGCCTGCAGGCTGCGGTGTCTCCGTTTTCAGAGCCGCGGTCCTCAGGACGAGGACGACGGGGACGGGTGAGTGTCAGGCTCGGAGGGTAATTCCAACCCTGGGGGGCGGGAGGAGGGGGAAATAATTGTATTGGCTCCGTGGGGTACGTTACCCCGATGACGCGCTCTGTGGTCTGACGTCACTGGGTAGCATGGCCAGGATTTCTTGGCACAAGTTCTAACTCGGTCCGGCTGTAGTCAGACAGGGCAGGGCATGTCCGTGTGGGCCGGCAGGGCCCTCTACTCGGGATTTTGTCCGGTCTCCAAAGCGGTTTGTTGGGATTAGAATTAGAGGACACGAGGCATCATCTAAGGAAGCCGTGGTAGCACTTTGAAACTTGTACCCGTGGACTCCCAGGACCTTAGAACCTGCAGACTGCCACGAACTTACATAATCAGCGTTTCCTGTCCAGTCCTCTGACTTTTGAATAGCCTTGTGAGGTCACATTTTAATTGTAAGCTGCATGCTTAAGTTATGCACTGCTCTTTGGAAAGGGCAGTCTCTTTAGCGGGGAGAGCAAGGACTGGAGATGTGGCCCAGTGGCAGAATGTTTGTCTGTCACGTCCAAAGGCCAGAATCCAATTGCAGGCCTCAACAAAAAAATCAAAAACAAATTAAAAAAGTGAAAATACCGGTTTTTCAAATTCCATTTTGACAGTGTTTTCATTTTTGCGTGACACTTGAGACCTTAGAAAATGTAAGTGGCCCAGTTTTCTTTCCCCCCAAGAAGTCCGAACTTTGTGATAGAGGGTCGGAGTTAGGGTAGACTATGGGCAAGAGTTTGTGGAGGGTCGTGGTCCAGGTCAGGCCTGAATCCCAGCCCTGCCTCTTTCTGGAGACCTAGGGAGGCGAACGTTTGTGGACTACAGTTTCCTCAACAGAGAAGTGAGTGTAATAAGTTACTGGCTGACTTTGGGGGTGTGGGAGAAGCTGAAGGGTGATTCCAGAAGCTAGTGGCTTTAGTCCACTGTGGAGCTAGGGCTATATGGAGTGATCGGTTAGTTCCTCCAGCAAGTGTGTGTCAAGCACCTCAGCAGCTGTCGTACGGGGAGAGATGTGCACACGAAGCTCAGCTTGCCCACCTGGGACTTTGTCTAGAAGGGACAGTGAGGGAAATGGCTGACAAGAGATTGCCATCCAGAAGCGGGGATAAATGCCACCACGAAGGTCGCAGGCGGCAAGCTGGGCTGCACTCACCGGGGTGAACTCTGTAAGCCGTTCCCACTTAGCGTGTCCCGATGTCTGTTTCTCATTAGGGGACAGTCATCCTCGAAGGCACGCCGGCTCCCCAAGATTTACACCAGGACGGGAGACAAAGGTAGGGTGAGGACCGGTGAGGAACGCGAGGAGACACATCGCAGGCGTCATTTTAAAGTTCTTCTGGCCTCGTTCTAGCCCATGGGCAGATCTGAAGATACATCACACATGTGAAGTGACATGAAAAAGGCACAAACTATTATTCAGTGTCCAAAAGAAGTTGTAAAAAAGCTGGGAATAGTGCACACTTGTCATCCCAGCACTCAGGAGGCTGAGGTCGGAGAGTCACGAGTTCAAGACCAGCTAGGGTGACATATCAAGCCCCAGGCCAGCCTAGGCTACATAATGAAACTCTGTCTTGAACTCAAGGAAAGGCAAGTTGTGGGATTGGAAGTGTAGCTCAGTGATCGTAGTGCTTGGCTAGTATTCTGGAGGCCCTAGGTTCAACCCCAGAACTGCAAAACAAGATAAATAAATAAAAACAGTATGGCATAACCTAAGAACCCTGAGTCGGGGTGGGAGAGATGGCTCAGTGCTTAAGAGCCTGGACTACTCCTCCAGAAGGCTCAGATTTGGTTCCCAGCACCCACATTGGGTGGCTCACACCTTCCTATAACTTCAGCTCTAGAAAGATCCATTGCCTCTGACCTCTGTGGGCACCTGCACTCATGTACACCCGCACACACCTTTAAAATAAATTTGAAAACTTTTTGAAAGAACTTTTAGTCCATTTGGATTAGAAATGTGTAATGGTAGGCATGTTGGTACTCATGAGGCAGAGGCAGAGCCCGGAGGATCACTGTAAGCCTAGGTCAGCCTGGGCTACATAGTGAGACCTTGTCTCTAACGAAAAGAAAAAAAATTATGTGTGTATAGTATATATGTGTGTGTGTGTGTGTATACGTGTGTACGTGGTATGCCTGGGCTAATAGCAAGTTCTAGGCCAGCCTGGGCTACATGGTGAGACCCTGTCTCTAAAGAACAGAAAAAAAAATGTGTGTGTGTATGTGGGGGGGGGTGGTTTAAGTACCTCTTTGGGTTTTGGGGTTTTTTATTATAATTTATTTATTGTCTTTAGTGTGTCTGTGTTGTATGTGCTCATGTACCTATATCACAGTGAATTTGAGGTCAGAGAACAACTTTCAGAGGTTGGTTCTTTCTTCCCACCATGTGGTTCCCGGGGATTAAACTCGGGTCATCAGGCCTGGCAGCAAGCCCCTGTACCAGCTGAGCCATCTCACCAGCCCTGAAATAGTTTATCTTTGACTGGTGGCCGGGAGAGAGACTGTGGGAGAGAGAGATACACAAAAGTTCATACTTTCCTTCTATTATTTTTTTCATAACAAGCAATTTATTGCTTCAATATTGAAATCAATACCAGGTGTAATATGACAGGGAAATAGACCACTATGTTGCCATGTTCTGTAATGTAGGACCAAGCAAATCATTAGCAGTTGTGCTTGGGGAATATCCTTCATACCAAAGTATACAAATACGTAGGATGTGCTTAACTGCACTGAGCTATAGGTAAACAAAAAGCCAGAATCGGAAATGTTTTGTCACACATTTGTTATCGTAACGATAGAAAAGAAACCATGTGCAGGGATGACAGATGGTAGATGGTGGTGTCGGTGCTTTCCACCAGAAAGTTCCAGGGACAACCTCCAGCCCGTCATAGATGAGCCTTGGCTCACTAAGGCCCAGCAGTGGAATTCCGCAGTAGCTGCTGGACAGGACTTTTCATAAGGCAAAGCTTATGCTGGCACAGGGGCGGAGTCAAGGAAGGGCGGAGCCAAGGAAGGGGTGGAGCCTTGTTATGGATCTTATGTGGTTGGGAAGCAGGGCTACTTCTGTAATTGAAGGGACTTAATGATTTTTCTTAGAAGGTGGAAGAGACAGGGAGGTGCTGGGACTGTGACAGACAAGATGCACTGGCCATTCTCATTAGCCAGGAGAGCTGATGCCTGGTCGTCTTTATGTGACTTTTGCTCAGGCACGGTTCTTTTGATTTGTTGAGGTTGGTTTATCACAGCTACGAGATGGATCTCTGTGGTGCTCTGTGGAGTCATTTGTGCTTAACAACAATGCAGTGGACTGTCTGAGTGGCTAGCCGCACCAAAGCCAGGCAGGAGCTGTGACCTAGGCTGAGGTCCAGACATGATGGACTGAGAGAGAGGGTGATACCCAGGTGCTTTACTTCTTAAACAGGAGGCTTCATTTGTGGCCCCCAGTCTAAACTAAAAGCATGCCGGGGAAGCAGGGTGGTAGTGACCAAAAGGACACTTCATGCACATGGCACATAGACATATATGCAAATAAACACCTATATGCTTGAAATAAAATAGACATTTAAAGTGTACCAGGAAAAAAATCTGGTTTTTACAATCATTTTTTTGGCCAGGCGGTGGTGGCACTCGCCTTTAATCCCAACACTCAGGAGGCAGAGGCAGGTGGATCTCTGTGAGTTCAAGACTAGCCTGGTCTACAGAGCGAGTTCCAGGACAACCAGGGCTGCACAGAGAACCGAATCTGGGTCCTCTGCAAGAGCAGCAAGTGCTCTTAACCACTGAACCATCCCTCCAGCTCCTGCCCCTCTCACCAGACAACCCCCAAATCTTAATGTGCTAAATATCGTCACCAGGGTTTTCCAGCACCTTCACAGGAGAACGGAGACCTAAAGATGACCGAGTCTTTGAGGCCGTGGGAACCACAGATGAATTAAGTTCGGCTATTGGGTAAGAGGGGCAGGAATGGGCCTTGATGTGAAGCCAGCCTGGGGCATCCGTGACAGTCATCCCTGTGACGTTCTCCCGAGTGCTCGAGGGTCTTGAAGATTGCCTGGATGGGTCTGTGCCAGCTGTTAGCCCAGGCTGGTCAGCTCCATGGGGCTGCAGGCTGTAGGCCTGTCCCTTGGTCACCACAGGGAGTGACCTTCTCACCCTCCCTGGCTCTGTCACTCTGAGCACATGTGAGCCATCAGGAGACAGGCAGTGAGGGAAAGAGGTGAGCCCAGGTGATCTGCAGTACCTCGGATGTGGCCTCCTCGTGAATGTGGATTTTAAAGTGTGCCAAAGGTTCAAAGGCTTGCTCGGTGATTACCATCCGCTCCCAAGCCTGGTTCTTACCCCACTGAAGGATTATTTCCCACCCTCACTTCGAGACATTGCATGCTCGATGTACCTCTGCCAAGTGTGGCCTTCGTGGAACCCAGGCTGATGAGACACCTGTCTGGGGTGGTGCAGGTCCTGGTGAGGCTCGTGCCAGCTCCAGAAGCTTCCTGTGTGACCCCTCCTTCCTGTTGCACTGGTCAGAACCAGTCACATCCTGACACTGTGGGGTGGAAAAGACCAAATGCATGAGGATAACCACGTGGGTGGCTGTGCCCAGCCACACTGAGGGTGTGAACGCTGACAGGCCTAAGTGCTGCTCCTCAAGACCCTGCCTGGCCCTGTGGTCCTAGATGAGTAGGAATCAGGAAGACCTGTGTTCAAATCCTGTATCCCCGCTTGCTAGGTATGTGATCTCAGATCAAACCAGACACCCTTGTTCTGAACCTCAGTTTACTGTTCTGTGAAATGGTCATGGTAGTACTTTCCCTCTGTTCTTATGAATTACTTCAATAAATCTGCATCTACCCCAGGACTGTACTTAACACAAGCACTAGTACTGTTTACAGTTATCCTTATCATTGATCATTGCCCCGGTAACTTCTAGGCTCATGGCTGCCGGGTGCCAGAAGTGTATGGACAGTGATGACAAGGATGTGTCCCAGCCAGCACAGCCTTTCCTTGTCACTCAGAGGGAGACAGACGTTAGCATTGGACCACTTGTGTGCATGTGGGTATGCATGCCTGTGCGTGCATGTGCTCTGTTCTGATTGGAAGATGGTTCTTTGCTGTTCACCCTGCTGGTCCTTTACCTGTCCTCTTGGCCTCTCTGCCTGGGCACTTGACCAGAGGACCTGCCAGTCCTACCCCTGATGTCCTGTGTCTTCTAGCTTCCACAAGGGTCCAGTGATGGGAGGCAGCTGTGGGCGCTGGGAGAGAGGAAGTGTGTGGGGGACACCCTGGGAGCATGGACAAACTGTCTGCCAGCTGAGCATGGCCCTGGCAGAGCTTCCCCTGCCGTGCGAATCCTGCTGGTGGCCCTCTGAGTTTAGCGTGCACCGGTGTCCCCTGCCTTGCCTCCCCAGCCTTCTGCTCTTGCCACTGTTTCCCATCAGCCATCAGCTCTTGTGTCTGTGCTCACATCTCTGAGAATTGTCCCTTTGAGATTCTGTCCGCCAGGAATCCTTCCAGTGTGCCGCCATCTGTTCCCTTCCAGGCCTCGTGGGTACAAGAGGGGCATGTAGCGTTTACAACTATGTCTGGGAAGTTGTTTCCTCCTCTATCCTGCTTTACCAAGGAACTCCTATTCATCCTTCAAAGCCCCACCTTCTTCCTCTTCACCATGTCAAGTACAGGTCATGCTCCCCTCATTCTTAACGTTGGCGCTGTGGTGCACAGCACACGTCTCTGTCTCCTGCCAGACAGACCCCAGGTCACCTGCTCCCTACTGTATCAACAGGGCCAGATCAGCCGGCTGAGGATAAGGAATATAATGAAAGCACTTTAGGAAGCCAGTACCCCTGTCCCCGTGGTTTTCTCTTTGCCAACAAGAAAGACTCTGCCATGGCCGTTGTCATCAGTCATGTTATCTTCCGGCCCCACAGCATTCTGTTAGGGGCTAATTTTCCCTTCTCCTCCTAGGTTTGCCATGGAGTTGATCACAGAAAAAGGCCACACATTTGCGGAAGAGCTTCAGAAAGTAAGTAACATCGTTGTAGCACCCTTTGGGGCTTTTTGTCCCTGTGGCCTGGGGTGTCGCCGGCTTCAACCTCTGCCCGCTGCCTCTTTGCGTCACAGTAACTAATTACTCCTGAGAGCCGCTCTGTCCTCATTTCTGAAATCAGGACACATAATCCTCCGTGAGGTGAGGGGCGGTGTGTCAAGGGTGGCTCTGCTTTCCAGGGAGTGCTCAGCAGTATTGAAGGATATCTGTGCTTGTCACATCTGGCGGGGGGAACTGCTGGTGTCAATCTCCTGCATGGCGCAGGACGGCCTCTTGACAAAGAACAACCGGGTGCCAGTGACCACAGCCCGTGCTGAAGAGCCGTGCGCTCGGGAGCCAGCTGGAGGTCTCAGCCAGGCGGAGCTGTGCCTGTTGGTGTTGCTGCTGAGTTCCCACAGGGACCTGCCAGCCGGGGCAGCAGTGCGTGGCTCTAGACCGCCTGTGGGGTGCTGCAGTCTTCCAAGATCACTGTAGTCTGCTTGGCTCCCAGGAGCAGGCAGGAGTCCTTCCTGAGTCTTCGGTCCCGCTGACCACTGCCCTCCACGTCCTGTCCTTCACCGTTTAGGTGGCACTGGCACATTCGGTCTCTTGGTCCAGAGCTGCCAGTGTAGAGAAAGAAGGCCGCCTGGTGCAGGTGTGTGGAAGCCTCTTGGCCAGTACTTAGCAAACCCCTGGCTCCCCAGACTCCTCCTCTCAGGAGGCCTCATGGTGCTCATTTGGGACAGTTTGCCTTTGGATGTGAATTCAGAAGATCCGTTAGCTCCTCAGAGCTGTGTGCATGCTCGGTGGCACTCTGCACATGCAGTAGTGCAGGGCAATTGCACACTTCCACCCAGCCTGCCACAAGTGCCCTTGCTTCTCTCCTCTTGCTCCCCAGATCCAGTGCACGCTGCAGGACGTCGGCTCCGCCCTGGCCACTCCGCGCTCCTCAGCCAGGGAGGCTCACCTAAGTAATTCCCAGCCCTGCTCGGGGTTCTGGGGCCTTGGGGTGGGGGCCGCCCCGGAGTGCAGCCCACTGGGAGTCCAGGTCCCAGGACTCCCTGGTAGGGCAGACAACACGTTCTCTGCCTTGGGAAAGAAGTTAGCCTCAGGCTGATGGGAACTATTGGCAAGATGCCCACGCAGAGGGGTGTGGTGTCTCCCGGGTGGACTAGTGGCTGCTTACAGGAGTGGCCTTCCTGTCGCTTGACTCCTCAGAGCACACAGCCTTTGAGGAAGGGACCATCACGGAGCTGGAACAGTGGATTGACAAGTACTCCAGCCAGCTCCCCCCGCTCACGGCTTTCATTCTGCCCGTAAGTATTGGGGGGCTCAACCTGGGGTGGCCAGGGTGGGTGTAGTGACAGAAACACATGGGCTTGCCGTTAGTCCCGACTTTGGCTTTTACCACAACGAAGCCGCCCCCAGCACCCAGCCCCTGCTGACTTGAGGGCAGGCCCGGGGTGTGTCTGGTAGTGCTCTGGGAGGCAGAAGACTGCCCAGTGTGGAGCAACGCTGGCCAGTGCTCACTTTCTCTTTCAGTCTGGAGGCAAGAGCAGCTCAGCCCTGCACTTCTGCCGGGCCGTGTGCCGCCGAGCTGAGCGACGGTAAGGGTCCCAGGGGCCGATGCAGGAGCCTCGTCATTATCTGTGCCCCCCCCCCCGGCCCTTCTCTAGGTGTCTTCATCGTGTCGTGTCCTGAGTCCCATCTCGCAGAGGGGGCTGTGACAGGTGACCGCATACTGCTCAAAGGCCAAGCAGAGTTTTCCTTCGTGAGATTCACAAGAAGCCAGTGACACATTCCAGGCTTTCTGGGATGGGGGCAGGGGATAGTGACATGAAAGGACCCTGCTAGAAGTGGGCAGAAAGGACCGTAGGGCCCTGTGGTTAGGGAGGACCCAGGTAGAAGCTGTCCACAGTCTAGCCATCTACTGCCCTTGCCTCATCTCCAGACTCAGAGTGTTCACAGTCAAGGGATTCCTTACAGTGCCCCAGGAGTCAGGAGCAGCTTAGTTAAATTCTGTGGCTGGGGTCACGCTCCACAGCCCCCCACAGCCCAAGAGTTTTGTCCTTTACAGAAGGCTCTTAGACCCAGAGATTCCCAGATGTATCCTGGGTAACAGAAAAAGCTTGGGCCTCAAAAGACAAGGAGTCATTGGTACAAAGTCACTCTCCTATCAGCGGGGCTCATAGCAGTGAGCAGTGGAGCAGCCCACAGGTCAGCACGAGACTGAGCTGGTGGTGCATCCTCAGGGCGGCCGACAGGCCCCAGCCCCAGCAGTGACCTGCCAGGATGCTCTCAGGGTGGATGGATACCTAGGTGAAGAAACCATGCTGAGTGGGGGGTACCTACAGGCCCACCTAGGCTGAGACTTCTGGGCCACTGGCCAAGTATATCACCTTGGATAGGGCCCAACCCCCCAGGCTGCCTCGGGAGAGTACCAGCAGGGGGTCGGGGTGGGGTGTAACCACACCATGGTGTCCAATAGGCACACTGTTGCACACAGACTGGCATTTAGAATTACAATTTAGGCCTGGAGGTGGTGGTGCCCGCCTTTAATCTCAGCACTCAGGAGGCAGAGCCAGGTGGATCTCTGTGAGTTCAAGGCCAGCCTGGTCTAGATCCAGGACAGTCAGGACTATACAGAGAAACCTTGTCTCAAACTGAAAAAACAAACAAACTAATTACAACTTAGACCCAGTAGCTCTTTGGGGATTAAGGACCAGATAAACCCCTCTTTGAAGTCTAGAGGCTGACAGCCCTGCCCACACAGAAGCCCAGACCACGCTTGCTGGCACAAAGGCCACCAGGCTGGGCTGTTGGCCGCCTACCCTCAACTTACCTGCTCTGCCTCTTCCTTCACTGGCCAGGCCATGTCGTGTATGTCCAAGATAGGGGGGTCCACTGAGGCAGTGGTGAGTTTTTGTTCGCAGTTGTCGGGATTAGTTTGGGTGGTGAGGTTGGGTGGTGAGGTCGCGTGGTGATAGGTGTCCCAGGCTCCCGTGTGCTGAGCTGACTGTGTACCTGACTGTGTGTCCGTCCTCTCCTTACAGTGTGGCGCCTCTTGTCCAAACGGGAGAAACGGATGCAAATGTGGGAAAGTTCTTAAACAGGTGCTTGAGTGGAGGGTGGTGGGGCGTCTGCGATCCACCAGGCATGTCGGTGGGCCCTAAGAGCACCCAGGGCTAAGCCCGCACGCCCCTCCCTCCCTCCCTCCCTCCCTCCCTCCCTCCCTCCCTCCCTCCGCATGTATGTTTAGGAGTGTGCTGTTTGCAGGGCAGCCCTGCCCCGCTCTGGGAGGTAAGGCTCTGGTTAGGAAATGTCTGTAAGGGCCAGCAGGAGCAAACCCAAATGAAAGGAGCAAGTGGTCTCAGGGTCTGTTCATGGAGCTGATGCCCAGGGCCTTGATGGTGTCCATCGGGAAGCCTGTCCAGGCAGCGTCTCTTCCTGAGACGTCCCAGGTGGCCCACAGTCATGCCAAGCTCAGGCCCCAGTGCTGTGAGCCAGGCTAACAGCAGTACCCTGCCCTGTGGTCAGCCTCTGCGCCACAGCTATACCTCTGGTTTCTCCTGCAGCCTGGGAGCCAGCGGAGGGCTTAGGGAGAGGGGGCACTGCACCCCAGGAGATGCCTAGCTCTGCAGAAAGTGACCTCATAACGCCTGGCTATGGGATGTCCTGTTACCCCCGCCCCCAGGATGTAGACAGGCTTGGATCCCTCTCCACAGGCTCCTTACTCCTGTGGGATGTCACCAGACCAAGTGAGAGACAGCTCCTTTCTAACTCAGAAGCAGCAACCCTGAGGAGCCCCTCTGGACCTGTAGTGTTGAGCAGGGCAGGGCAGGGCAGGTCATCCCCTCCCTGCAGGTTCCTGGAGTCATCAGGAAAGCAGCATATCGCTGCCCTAGGAACACAAGGCTCAGAAGGGCAGTGCGTGGGCAGGCTCGTCCTCTTGGTAGCCAGCTGTGGCCCAGGAGTTAGAGTAGTGAGTGCACAGGATGGAAGGGAGGTCGGTGGAGCTGGGCCCGGGTAGGAGGGAGCAGGAGGGCGTGAGGAGAGCGTGACAAAAGCTTGCTGTAAGCCTCCAGGAGGTGAGACAGCCCCATGTGGACCTCAAGTAGCCTGCGGTCAGGGTAGGCAATAGCCTGTGCCCACAGGAGACTCCAGAGTGCTCCAGCCCCGCCATCCATCATGACAAGAGGGTGTACTACCCACTCTTCCCACATGGTGCTCCTGGGGTGCGAGATTCACCCTTCCTTCTCGAAGACGAGCTAGGCCTGAGCCAGCTAGCCTTGATCTCTCACGTCTTCCTGTTCTTCCTGCCCTCAGACTCAGCGATTACCTCTTCACCGTGGCTAGATATGCAGCCATGAAGGAGGGCAGCCAAGAAAAAATATACAAGAAGCGTGACGTGGGAGACACGAAGAAATGCTGAGGGACCTTCCTTCACAGGCCCCTTGAGAGGCCACGGTAAACTAGAACAGTCGTGTTGACAGACTGGAAGCAGACCCGAGGTTCAGACTGTCACCTCACACCCCTGCCTTCCCCCCGGGACCTCTGAGACTCTGCTGCCTTCCCCAGGCTGTGCTCGAACACATGGGACTGAGTTCCGTACTGCAGGGCGGAAAAGTAGACTGAAGGCTACAAAGAGGAGGGGCCCCTCGGCATTGGGAGTGAACGTGGGGAGGGTTTGAACCTTGCACTCGGGCTGTGTGTGTGTGTGTGTGTGTGTGTGTGTGTGTGTAAGACAGAAAGATGCTGCTTCCAACTCGTCAGGCTGTTCAAGGATTTGGAATGTACCAGATGCCCCTGGAAATGTAATTGTGATTTACCTGTGCCGACGGGGCTTTAAATGTCACATTTATAGAGGGGAAGGCAGGCAGGCTTGAGGAGTTTAGTCACCTCTGAGCCGCCCATCACTGCCACCGTGTAGGGAATGACAGCTGCAGGTCCGCAGGGGTGCACGTGGCAAATCCTCTCCAGCAGGGCAGGAGGTGGGCAGCCCTCCCCACCGCGGCAGTGGTGGAAATGAGGTCTTGAGGCCAACACTGAGCCCTCTGGTGTCGCCCTTGACTGGTTTATGCTCCTGCGATCCACACCACGGCTGTGTTTTATTCCACCTGTCACCGCTGCTGCTTCTCACTGTGAAATGACATCACCAGTGGCAGCTGTGTCCTTGGGAAGAGGGATATTCGTGAAAGGCTGGAGGCGGAGAACCTAAGGCTCCCATGCCTCGTGGTGGGTAGTGACTGAGGAAGCGCAGGTCCGGGACACCTGAGGACTCGGCTCAGGGATCTCTTCACTGCACCTGCTAGGTGCACCCTCCATGCCAGGTGTGGGCGGACTGGCCCCTCTATGGCTTCCCTGTTGCTCAGTCAGCAAGCATTTGGTTTCAGCTGCGTCCCCTCCCCACCTTCCTGCTGACATGTCAGCCGGGCAGCTACGTCTGTATCTTCTGAATCCTTTAAAGGGTAGATGCCCAGGAGGGAGGAGTACCCCCCAGGAGGGAGGAGTACCCCCCAGGAGGCAGCCCTGTCCAGTGCCACTGCAGCCACCAGAGTGAGGCACCGATTGGATACGGAGTTGGTGCTGTGTGGAAGACCGGAAACAGGAGCACAGGTTCACGGTGCTTAAGCATCATGCTGTTCCGGGCCTGGCCGGGGAAGCCATGTTCCGAGAGCTTGCAGCAGCCCCTCCACCCTGCCTACAGCCACAGGTCCTCCTAAAAAAGACAGGATGAACTCAAGAAAATAGCAACCTACACCCAAGCCTATGCCCTGACTGCTTTCCACACCCCCCGTCCCCCGCCCCCCGCCAGGGTTTGGGGTGGCTCTCAGGGTAGATCGCAGCGTTCAGGCTCCAGGCATTGCCCAGCCTTGTGCACACCACCCACAATCCTCACGGGGCAATCCCCGCTGCACGCTAACACAGCTGCAGAACTGTTTCTTTAAATTGTACCCATTTATCATCGATCTCTCTCTCTCCCTCTTTGCATAATTCAGCCCCTGAAAATATTGCAGGAAGACTCCCTGTCTTTTTTAATTTTTGTAAATAGCAGTTTTATTGAAATACAGTCCCACCTCCCATAAAGTGCTTTTTAAAATGGACAGTTCAGGCCGGGCGGTGGTGGCGCACGCCTTTAATCCCAGCACTCGGGAGGCAGAGCCAGGCGGATCTCTGTGAGTTTGAGGCCAGCCTGGTCTCCAAAGCGAGTTCCAGGAAAGGCGCAAAGCTACACAGAGAAACCCTGTCTCGAAAAACCAAAAAAAAAAAAAAAAAAAAAAAATGGACAGTTCAGTGGATTCTAGGATATTGCCCAGTTTCTGCCACCCCATAACTCACACCCAGGAAGATGCCCCGTAGTTCAGGACAGGCTCATCAGAACAGTATTCACCGTCGTTTCCAGAGGTGAGTCCTCAGCAGCGGTGCCGGCCAGTGCTACAGAAGGGCCCAGCCACGTGTTCACACGGGACCTCCAGCACTGGAGCGGGAGTTCACACTTCTGCAGGAAAGGAAACTGAGGCTCAGAACTGGCCTAGGCTGTGGTCTCATGACCCCCCACCCCCAAGCTTACCAGCCCCCACAGTCATTTTAACCACAGCCTGGGCTGTGGCAAGCAATGTCAGTCACTAATAGATCTGCTGTCGCATTTCTCAGCCGAGTTTCCCTTAACTGATGTTTCATGGCTATTGTTAATGTGCATTTTTCACTGAGTAATTTCCAGAGCCTGAACTTGTAGCACATCCCAATGATGAACGTCCCCAGTTCCGAGTCCCCTGTCAACTGCAATGTCACCCTTACCTCCTCCCCAGCACCTCCCGACAGCCCATCCAGTTTTATGAGTCCTCCGTCCCAGTGATCACGGCTGAACCTTTAAGAATCCAGACGCATTTCAAGTTTAATTGAATAAAATTCTTTGTATAATAAATTCCGCATGAATACTACATAAATCAATGCCTGGAAGGATTTGTGGCTCATTTCTCTCCCCAGATGGGGTTCGGGGATCCTGCTGGCGGTGCTGTGCCCAAGCTGGTCCTGTCTTGATCACCGAGAGGAATAAATTTGCCTTTGGGGGTCCTTGTAGAGGGTGTGGCTTTTGCTGTCAGGACCTAGAGCTGATCTCTGAGTCCCTCCTGGAAGACGGAGCTTTGTCCAGGCAGGGCAGAGGATGAGCAGACCAGGGGTCTGGGAGCTCTGGGGAGGGGTCTCAGTCATTTATGGAATCAGAACTCCTAAAGCCATCATTTGTCACCTTTGGAATCCCGGGGGAAGCCGCACACATGCTCCCCTTAGTGTGGTGCACGTGTTCTTCCGGGGTTGGTCACCACGTTCGCATGCCTCCTGGAAGTCCATGTGACCCCAAGGTAAGACTGCCATGCAAGCTGGGCACTATGGCATATGCCTGCTGTCAAGGCTGAGGCAGGTGGATTGGCTGAACAACCTGAGTTTAAGACCGGCCTAGGCAACATAGCAAGACCCTGTCTGAAAAAAACAAGCAAAAATAACAACACCCTCTTCAAGAGCTAAGTGCAGATCCATGGGACAACTCCCTCCAGCAGCCACTTAGGGGTTCACGTAACCCCAACCTTGAAGGTGAGAAGGAATGCCTGGAGCTAGAGAGGCTTCTGGAAGACGTGGATCTCTGCAGGACCTGGAAGGACAGTGAATGATTGGCAGACATAGCTCCATGCTGGCCTCCTCGACCCTGAGAACAGGCCTGTCACTTCTAGCTTCTGCACTTGGGACCTGTTGGTCATCTTCATACTTGCCTCTCACTGGTAAAATGATGACAGTCTTCATGCTCTGTGGTCACTGGGAGAGCTTACTTAGGGCACGTTTAACAAGGCCCTGGCAAATGGCTACTGGTACTTGAATCAAATTCCAGCTCTGCCACACCTTAGCTGTGTCACCTTGAACAATTCATTTAGCGACTGTGTGGCCCAGGCTGGCCTGGAACTTGTGATCTACCTGAGGGCTCCTTCCTCCTCTAGAGTGCTGAGATAAGTGGGGGTGTACCACTGCGCCTGGCGCTCTTCAGCATTATAACAATAACAGCAGCTTCCTGAGGTTCGAGGCGGACTCCACGGGCCTGGTCAGTGTAGCTGTCATGGCTGAGCAGCTTTGTCCTCTTCAAAGCCGTCCTGAGCTCCAGGTGTGGAGCCAGGCTTCGAGACAGGCGTTTGCCAACTGACAGAGCCAACTGACCTCAAATCTAAGATCCTCCTGCCTTCGTTTCCTGAGTTCTGTGATTCCAGGTAGGCGTCGCCACACGCAGGCCACTCCTCACACTGTGGGCTGGTGAGATGTCTCGGCAGGCCAGGGCACTTGCCACAGAGCGGATGTCCTGAGTTTGACACCTGGAGTCCACATGGTGGAAGGAGGGGACAGGCTCCTACAAGTTGTCTTTGGACTTCCATGCATGCGTAATACATGTGTGTGTATAAACATACACACAGTCAAACAAGATAAATGTGAATAAACCCTTCACACCGTAACTAACCCTGAAAGCACCTTGCCCACAGCAGCCCCAGCAAGCTGCCATTAAGCATCCTTGTGTCACCAACACAGAAGCTGGGGTGCTGGGAAATGGCACCATGGCTGGCTTCTCGCAGTCAGAGGCCACTCTGGGACTTGAGCCTGGCTCTTCCTCTAGCCTGCTTACCTCTGCACAGGGACCACACTACCTGTCTTGCTGTGGTGGCAGCAGAGCCTGTCGGGTTCCCCAGGGTGGTCTCCTTGGGAAGTTAGCTACTAGGGCATGGCTGGTAATTAAGTGGGGTAGGCTGCTTCTCTAGGAGAGGAGGAAAGGATTGAAAAGCCCCCAGAGGATCCCGGTTGCCCCGGCCAGAGGTAGCCATTCCAAGGAAAATGAGAAATAGGTGCCAGTTCAAAGTGTCACAAAGGCCCCCGGAGAACCAACCCAATAGATGGCACAAAACCAACCTGGTAACTCCAGATCCTGGGTGCAAGGTGACCTCTCCATCTACCAGCGCCCTAGAAGCGACTCCCCGTGGCTGATCTCAGGTCACAGGCCCTCTGGTCCTCCCCACTGGCCATCTGTAATGCCCACGTCCCTCCCCAGCTAGTAGGTGCCTTTATTTATGATCACCTTGGAAGGGTCGAGCAGACATATGTTGCTAAAGGGGCGTTTATTCTTGTTTATAAAATTTATGGCCTCACCTCAATTACACACTGTCAGAACGGGAAGGATCGGCCCCAAAGCCTCTTGCCGCCTGACTGCTTCAGACGTGCGTACATCTGTTAACTCCGTGGGAGCTGTACAGGGAAATCAGGTCCGCTATAACTCAAGCTCGCTGTCCTGCCACGAGGTGTGAGCTGCAGGCCTTGAGCAGACACATCCAGGCATGCATGTGGGCAGGGAGGCAGCGAGCAGCTGTGGTGGCCATGCCAGGTGGCCAGATGCACGGACTGGCCACGGTCTCTGTCAGGGTGCTTTAAGCTGGGGGAAGATGCGAGAGAGAACTTTATTTCCGTGGCCTTTGGGACTCAGCTGCAGTGTCCCAGCGGCTGGAGAGTTTTGAGCCTGTGGCTTTCCACCTGGCAATACCAGCGGGAGAAAAGCATGCCTCCCCAGCGTGGGGGAGTGAAGGTGGGCATGAGTTTCAGGGGGACAGTTTGACAACTCTCACGAGAGTCCTGAGAGTGCACGTCCTGGGCCTGCAAGTCCCCCCTCCAAACATCTCAGAGGGAAATGTGTCTCAGCAGAGCCCAGAGGGTCTTGTTCAGCGATGTTGCTCATTACCATGAAAAACTGGACACTCGTGTGCAGGACGAGAAAGCTAGATGATTCCACGAGTGAGCGCACTATTTAACAATGAGCGACTGTAAGAAATGTCATGACTTCTGTAGTAAGTGGGTATGGGGACCTGTTCCAAAATGCTGTGTAGCGAACAGTCCGCATTCTTGCCTCTACATGAGGGTATCATGGGTTAACACTTACTTCCTTCTTTAAGTCTGGATTTCCTAACTTTTCTGCAGTGGATTCAGGTTAGACTTGAGGAGGGCTCACTGTGTAAAAACCCCAAGGGAGAATGGGAAGAAAGTGAAAGCCGGGTCTGGCATGTGGCTCTGTTGGTCGAATGCCTATCTAGCATGCACGGAGCCCTGGGTTTGGTCCCCGACATGGAATAAACGTGTGTGGTGGTGCATGCTGCTGATCTCAGTACTTGGGAGGTGGAGTTCAAGGACAAGATCATCTTGGCTACATGTCAAGTCTGAGGCTAGCCTGGGCTACATGAGACTCTGGCCAAAGACAAATAAATAGAAAGACTGAAAGAAGGGGGAAGATGTATCCCCCTGCCTGCCTTCCTCCCTTGGGACAGCTGGAGTCACGGTAGTCCCTGGAGGATGATAACCCCTAGAGCCTCCCCACTCCCCATGGGTACCTTCTGATACTGTCCTCGTGTTCTATCGCTGTGAGGAGACACCAGGACCGTGGCAATTCTTACAAAGGAAAGCACTGAATTAAGACTTGCTTACAGTTCAGAGGTTTAGTCCGTTGTCACCATACTGGGAACATGGCAGCATGGAGGACGTCGTGGTGCTGGAGAAGTTGCTGGGACATACATCCTGATCCACAGGCCGAGAGAGACTTCAAAGCCTACGTCCTCCAACCAGGCCGTGCCTCTTAATCCTTTCCAACAGTTCCACTCCCTGGTGACCAATCATTCAAATCTATGAGCCTATGGGGGCCGTTCTTCTTCAAACCACCACAAGCATGCAGCCTGGGGGATGTGTGCTGTGCCATTCCTGCCGTAGACAGCTGACTGGCTGGAGTCCAGCTTGTGAATGCAGACCTGGCTTGTACTCTAGAGTGATCCAGGAGGGAAAAAACGTGTTCCCATCCCCCCTGAGATGCCTCACTGGACAAGTCTCCCTCACCATCAGTCTCCACCACCATCTCAGCCAGAAGCTGAGGACACTGCCATCTCTCTCCTCGACCTGTGACAGCATCTTATATTTGCCCAGACCTCGAGAGTACACAAAGAACTTTCATATTTATTATCTCATGCCTTTACATCCTGAATGGTCAACTTAAGCCCCTCTGGACAAAGGGGCACACTGACAGGTGGAGAGATGAGAGGCTAACATGCC